CCCTTGCCGGTGCGGCGTCTCCCGCTAGGGGCAGACGCAGCGCCGACCCCGTAGAAACCAACAAGGTCGGCAGCAGCAGTAGAAGCAACAGAGGGCAAGAGGGGCGAGGGGGAACACCCCTCAAAGATGGGGCTGCGAGGGTCACCACGAGAGGCTCCTACAGCGACTATGCTTTTCTCTGCTGCTAGGAAGCGCTCCTCGAGGAGGTCAACGGTGAGTGTGGTGGGGCAAACTGAGAGGAAGTGGTCCCTGACTAAGCGAAGAGAGTCAGGGAGCCGGGTGACTATGTAGTAGAGGGTGATGTTCATGGGGGGGGGGTTCTTCGCGCAGAACTCGGCAGGAAGCGCAGCGCGGTAGCGAGTGTCACTAGTGCGGAGGTGTGTAATGAGGTCAGCGACTGTGGGAAAGGCAGCAAGGTCAGGGAAGAGGTACGGTAGCATGAGGCGGCTCAGTGCAGCAGTGGCAGGGGAAGAGTAGCGTGCAACTACAGCGTCGTACAAGGTCTGAGCACTCTTGTACTGGCTAAAGTGTGCACGCTCAGTGGTCGGTAAGTGGCGACGCACATCAAGACGGGCAGCACCATCGCGTGTCGCCCACTGTGAGCGAACACTGCTGTTAGCAGTAGCAGGCAGGGCAGGGGAGGCACCAGAGGTGAGGTCGAACAGAGAGAGGCCGTCTGCCCTATCGCACTGGAGGAACAGCTGGAGGTCCTCGACCCAGACCTCAAAGTCAACAGCACGACCCTTAGTGTCAAAGGTAAGAACACTGGGGGAAGCCATGACTGCAGAGGTCTAGCAAGGAGTGAGTTCACCAGTACGAGTAAGTAGGGCCGGGGCGAGCCGGTAGGACTGGGAGCAGCTCGACGGCAAGGCGGCTCGGCGGCTCAGCTGCTCGGCTGATGGGCGGCTCGGCTGCTAGGCGGCTCGGCGGTCGGGCGGCTCGGCTACTGGGCGGCTCGGCTCGGGCGGCTCGGCGGCTAGGCGGCTCGGCTACTGGGGGGCTTGGCGGCTCTGCTGCTGGGTGGCTCGGCGGCTCTGCTGCTGGGCGGCACGGCAGCTCTACTGCTGGGCGGCTCGGCGGCGCTGCTGCTGGGCTGCTCGGTAGAGGCGGCGTCGGGGCCGCTAGGGGCAGCGACGGGGCCGCTTAGGGAGGGGAGCGGCGACGGGGCCGTGTAGTGGCGGCGATAGGGCCGCGTAGGAGGCGGCGTCGGGGCCGCTTAGGGGCGGCGACGGGGCCGCTTAGGAGCGGTAGTGGGGCCGCTTAGGGGCAGCGACGGGGCCGCGTAGGGTGAGAGGCGGCGACGGGGCCGCTAGGGGCGGCGACGGGGCCTCTTAGGGGCGGCGACGGGGCCGCTAGGGGCGGCGACGGGGCCGCGTATGGGCGGCGACGGGGCCGCGTAGGGTGAGAGGCGGCGACGGGGCCGCTAGGGGCGGCGACGGGGCCGCTAAGGGCGGCGGCGGGGCCGCGGAGGGGCGGCGACGGGGGGCGGCTACGGGGCCGCGGAGGGGCGGCGACGGGGCCGCGTAGGGGCGGCGACGAGGCCGCGTAGGGTGAGAGGCGGCGACGGGGCCGCTAGGGGCGGCGACGGGGCCGCTAATTGTGGCGTCGGGGCCGCGTAGTGGCGGTAACGGGGCCGTGTGAGGGGCAGCGACGAGGCCGCTAGGGGCCACTAGGGGCCTGGAAAGGGCGGCGAAAGGCGCGCCTCGGGCAGGAGCGACTGGCGCTCCGGTCAGAAAGGATTTTTTCAGTGGTGGGCCCAAGGAAGCGTTCCCACAAGGGAACCTGCTCTATACCATGTGAAGAATGAGGAAATGAATGAACTAGCACAAGGTTGGGTACAAGTAGGAAACCCTAGTGAACTGTACCCCATAGTGTCTACCCCACTATAGCCTACACAAGCTATATAATATTAGTTTGACATCGTCGTCTCCCCATGCACCGCGTTGTGCTGACTCCTCATCCCATCTTGTCGCGATGCGCTCCTGATATAGCTTCTCTCTCTTCTCTCCCTTTGCTTTGTCTTCCTCCTCTTTGACGCTCAGCTCCTCTTGTGTCGGGGTGGTTCCACTCTCTATCAATAAGGGTGCGGTAAACATCGCGGGTGTAAGGTCGCGGGCTTCCCTCCTCGTCAAGAGTTCCGGTGTTTGCTTCCAGTACCAAGCGGAGAGTTTCTGATCAAGGCGTTGGGCGCTCCTTCTTCCTCTGGCCGAGATCCTCGTTCGCGGTCCCAAAAACGCGGTGAGTGGTAACAGCCAGCTCCTTCTCTATTATACCTTCAGGCTCTGCCTCGGCGCTTTCCGCCTCTTGAATTGCCGCATAGTCTCTCTCAACTTCCTCTGTGTAGCTTGCCGTGGGTGTGAAGCATGTCGTGCAGAGTCCGTCGGGCCCAGGTTGGTGCAGATTGATCTCACGAGGGTGAGGACTGCGGCGGATCCAGGTTGCCATGACTCCTCGTTCATGTAAGGAAAGTCCTGGGGAACGAGGTCCACAAGCTCGTATGAGGACGCTTGGTGGTCAGGTATGTCAAAGTCGAGCATGTAGACACCGCCAAGCGAGCGAGCTCTTCCAAGGTATTTGTGCAACTCGGCGGGTGTGTCTGGAGGAGCGTGGGTGAGGATGAGGTCGCGTGTGTAGGTATCCGTAGTGAGCATGACTTCGCAGTCAGAGGATTGTGCCGCGGACAGCAAGTTAAAGTGCAGGTCCGACACGTAGAGCACGTCATTGAACATGATGTCCGTGTTGTTGTCTCGAGCTTGCAGCACCACAATGCCTTGCGTATTTGCGCGCAGTTGCTCGTCTTTGGCGACGGTGACGTAGGTTGCGGGGGCGCGGATGGTGTTCGAGATGTATCGGGAAAATCCTACCATGTGCTGGCCGCAGCAACTGTCCAGGTACCAGGTGTTGTGGTTGGTATTGTTGTTGTGCAGGAGGAGGGCAAGCCGTGGTGTGACAAGCGTTGCCTTGTATCTTCTCTCAAAAAAATCATTTTATCTCCATCCCACTGGAACAAAACGCTAGTGATCGTGGGGCGGGCTTTCCCGCAGTTATATTGGCTAGTGCCAATCTTGCTCGTCCTCTTCGTCGTAATAGGAGTTCCCTATGAAGGAATTGTTCCACCCTTCTTCATGTTATATGAGCGCGCTGCGAGGTTCCTCCTCTTCGTCTGGTGAAGCAGCTCGTGGGCGGCGCCTTGCCGCCACGTTCAAGATCACGTTTCTGGTAGCTCCTGCTTGAGGTCCTTGTGTCTGTTGTTGTTGTGCAGGAGGGCGAGAAGCTTGATGTTGAGGCTGGAAATGACGAGCGTCTTGTCGCCCAACCCAGCTGTTATGGTGAGTGGAATTTGGGTGGCGATAGTTGGACCGGAAATCGCATCGGTCTATTGAATGTCCGAAGACTTTGCAGATTTTGTAATAATGGCGTCTTGGTTGTCGTCGCTCTTCACGATTGTTTGTGTAGAAGTCGAGGCGCTTTCGGCGCGGCGCGGAGCTTCTCTTCCTCGAATCCATGTCCTCCTGTTCAGTCAGGAGGGCGGCGCATAGCGCGTCTTCTGAGATGATTCCCCGTTGTCGGAGTAGCGCTTTGCAGGGCTTCCACTCGGGCCCGAGTCCTTAGAGGACGATGTTGACGAAGATCTCTTCCGAAATTGTGCTTCCATGCTCCGTGATCTTGTCACAAATGTTTTGACAGCGGTTAAAATATGTGTTCGCTTTCTCCCCGTGCCCCATCTTGGTCTCCATGAGTTGCTGCAGGAGCCTGCTGGAGGTGACTGAGTCCTTCGGCTGATATACCTCAACAAGGTCCTTCAAGGCTTCCAAGGCTGGAGCGGCGCTCTCATTGTAAGATCAAATGCCGAGTTGCTCCGCAGGCGTCATATTACGTAGCAGCACACTGTATGCCATAAGGGACTCGCTGTATTAATAAGCCCTGGCATCTTCGGTGTTTTCCACTGGTTTAGAGTAGGAGCTGTCGAAGTAGTGGTAGATCTGCGCTGTTTGTAGGAGGAGTTCTAGCTCAAAACTCCATGTATAGAAGTGTTTCCCGTCAAACTCCATGTATAGAAGTGTTTGATCTTGGTTCGGCGAATTTCACGGAAGTGGAGTTGCGAAGAATCCTTGAGTAGCTCTCATTACATGTGCAATCCCAGATGGGACTTGGCGAAGGATCGCCTCAGGGTTGATCGTAGGTAGTGTTGCAACGGAAGTGTTGACCTCAGGTAAGAGTGAATGTAAATGACTGAGATAATAATAGCATGCATCCATCGAGTTTATATAGGGAAATACCAAGAAATGCGAAAAGACCTGGACTAACCATGTACTATAAGGGGTACATTTCCTTATTACAGAAAATTCAAACAGCGCGGCGCGGGAACCCGTTTCAAATCTGTTCCAGCTCTTGTTATTTCATATAGTTTTTGCCTGCACCGGTCTTGGTCAGACGGTTGCTGGTGTCGCATCGACTCTTCTAACTCGTCGACTTCGTACTCGGTAAATTCGGCTCCTGCAGCATACAGGAATGCCTTCTCATTGAATTTCATATCGTAACAGGTACTGTGTGATGGGGGTACAGTACAGGCTATATTTCAGCCCAATTTTTTATTAGAAAGTTTCACTTTCAAAAGTTGATTAGATGAGCATTCAAATGATGATCCGAAATCAGAGTTATAGGTGGGACTCGCGTAACGTGTTTCTTCGCGAAACCAAATTTCGTAACCGACACCGATATGGAAACCAGAATCTAAAACTGACTTTGTTGAACTCCACAGAATACGGCCTTGCAGGATTGGGAAGAACTCTGGCTGTGGAGTCTTCTCTCAGGGCGTGTCTGGAAAGTACTGGCGAATACGGTTGAATAAGGCCGAATACCATCTCTCTGCTACCTCCTCCCACTGTCCTGACACATTTTCCACCTTGTATCTCCCACGTAATCGCCCATGGTGTTCCGTTTTGTCGTTTTCACGATCTAGAGTTGGTGCAGCTGCGAGCCACTTCTAACACCTTAATATGGCCACTTTCCACGTTGGCTGTCCGCTCACGCTGTAAGGCGCCTCCTGTTATGGCGCCAAGCACCACCCAACCCTATTATCAAGGAATTGAAGCACTTGATCCTAGTGTGACTCGTTAATATGGCTAGTCGTTATTGTGTCTTCAGTATTCCTGTTGCTCAGTCGTCTAGGTTTTCGTGTGCGCAATCCTATTTCCTATTTTACTCCTTATCGGCGTTGAAAAAAATCCACAGAAAACCGTTTCGAACCTTGACGTATTCCGCGCAACTCCTACAACTTTCTATGAGCCCTTCTGACGTAGTTTCCACGCGCCACGACTTCCGTTTTTAACGCACACGCTCCCGCTTCCCTGTGTTCCAATTCCTAACTCCCCTCCGCAGGAGGCCCATATGTCGCTGCTCTCTCGGGTCTGTCGGACCACTGGCTGCCTGCCACGTGGACGCGCAGACGGCTGTGTTGGCGTGGTCCCTGTGGGAGCGCGGGAAGCTTGGGGTGGCGGGGGGGACGAGGACGGGGGGAGGGGGGGGGACGGCGGAAGGGGATGCGGAAGAGGGTGCTGCTGCTGTAACGGACGCTGCTGTGTCGAATGATGCTATAACGGATGATGCTGTAACGAGCGGGTTGCTGTACAATGGAATGGTGACGATCGACGTTCCAGCGTTTGAGAGCGAGGATGATTGGGACGGTGAGAGCGAGGATGATTGGGACGGTGAAAGCTAGGATGCTTGGGACGGTGAGACTCTCGAGAGCGCGCGTGGGATTTGAAAGAATGTGGCTGGCAATGAGGACAGTGAAGAACAGCCAAGTGCAATTGCCTGCCTTCTTCCTATTCCCCTCCCGTTGCCTCTTCTAGGCTCTTCTTCCCCACCCATCCCTCGTCCTCACCTCTCCCCTCGTCCCCACCCTCATCCCCACCTCTCCCGTGGACCCCACCTCTCATCTTATCCCCACCTCTCCCCTCATCCCAACGTCTCCCGGCATTCCCGGCTGTCCCCTCCATGCAGACGGCGGGGTGATCGATCAACCATTCCTGCAAGCCACACAAGCTCCTGCCGCTGGTTACCACGCGACTGGTTACACGCCTGGCTTGGAGTGGGGCAGTGGGGGGGAGGCAGTGTGGGGGCACTCTGCCTTCGGTGGCCAGGTGCGTGCGTGTGACACACAGTGCGTGCGTGTGACACACAGTGCGTGCGTGTGACACACAGTGCGTGCGTGTGACACACAGTGCGTGCGTGTGACACACAGTGAGTGCGTGTGTCCCCCCCCATCATTTACCAACCCTTTTCCAGTGCAGCCCCACCTTTCTCCCATCTCGCCCCGTCGCTCTCCCTGCCAAACACCCCCCCCTCTTCCTCCCTCTCCCCCAACTCCCCTCACGTTCCCATGATTCCGTGTTCGCCCTGGCCTGCTGCCCATGGCCACATGTCAGTGTCGTCTCATCGAACGCTGTCCGGCCCCGGGGTCCTCAACGTGCTCTCTTGCCCTTGCTCTGCTCAGGCACCCGTTGAACCTCACCCTCTAGGCTCTGCACCACACCACGTATGTATGTACAGAGAGTTTTATGACCGATCATAAACTATACTCCCATGATCCCAGGAGCTGGATTATGCTAAAGCTCCTTTGAAAAGTCTCAGTCACGTGCTCCCTTGCCTTTTCTGATGCTCACTCACGTGATTCCAGGGGCTGGATCACCCACACGGACTCCTTCACTCTGCAGTAGCAGCGGCAGGGGACGCCATTCCCAAGCCTAGAATCCCGGGCCCCAGGCGTCCTCCCAAGCCTAAGATGTCGGCTCGGGCCAAGGCTCTCGCGGCGAGCAAGAAGGGCAAAGCAGGGGCGGCAGCAAAGGCAGCGAGGGCACATGCAGCGGCCACGGCTGCTGCTCTTGCTGCCGGGCTGCCCCCCCCGCCGCTGCCTGCTGTGGTCGTTGCTGCTCTTGCTGCTGCTGCCAATAGCTCTGACCCCTTGCCTCCGTTTCTCGCTGTTGCAGCTGCGGCTGTTGCTGCTGCTGATGCGGCAGCAGCTAAAGCTGCAGGGAAGACTGTTGGTTCGGCTCGTGATCCTTCGGGGGCCGCTGCTGCTGTCCCTGCTCGTGTCGCTGCTGCCGTTGGTGGCGCTGCTGGTGCAGCCGGTGCAGCTGGTGCTGCTAGTGCCCATGCGGCTGGGTCATCTGATTCAGAGCCTGTGCGCTCTCCTTCCTCCAAAGCTGCTCAACCAGTACCCCACCTCGCACCTGCCGCCCCCCCCTTGCCTTCCACGCCCGTCAAGCATGCTACAGCCGCTGCTACAGCTGTAGCGACAGCACCTTCCCCTGGCCCATCCGCCAGTGCGGCTGTTGCAGCAGCAGGGTTGGAATGTGACGGTGCTGCCCGTCCTTCACCTGCTGCTGCTGCCACTGCTGCTGATACTGCTGCTGCTGATGATACCGCTGCAGGGGCTACGTCTGAATCGGTGAAGGAGAGGAGGCGCACGATCAAGATCAAAGGAGGCGCTCAGCGGAAGGTTCTCGTGTTGGTTTCACCCGAAAAACCACCTGAAGTGCCTGCGGCGCAAGCAGAGTCAGCTGCAGTGCGGAGTGACTCAGTTACAGTGCAGAGTGAATCGACTACAGTGCCTCTGGGGAGTGAAACGGCACCGCGAAAGCCAAAGAGAGTTATTATAATCTCACGCAAAAAAAAAGGTGCTGCTGGTGCTATTGTAACGGATAGTTCCGGTGCTGCTGCTGGCGCTGCTGCTGGTGCTAGTGATACTGGTGATGGTGCCGGTGCTGGTGGTGGTGGTGGTGCTGCTGGTACCGCTGGTGGTGGTGGTGGTGGTGGTGGTGGTGGTGGTGGTGGTGGTGGTGGTGGTGGTGGTGGTGGTGGTGGTGGTGGTGGTGGTGGTGGTGGTGGTGGTGGTGGTGGTGGTGGTGGCGGTGGTGGTGGTGGTGGTGGTGGTGGTGGTGGTGGTGGTGGTGGTGGTGGTGGTGGTGGTGGTGGTGGTGGTGGTGGTGGTGGTGGTGGTGGTGGTGGCGGCGGTGGTGGTGGTGGTGGTGGTGGTGGTGGTGGTGGTGGTGGTGGTGGTGGTGGTGGTGGTGGTGGTGGTGGTGGTGGTGGTGGTGGTGGTGGTGGTGGTGGTGGTGGTGGTGGTGGTGGTGGTGGTGGTGGTGGTGGTGGTAGCATTGTCCGTGCCGGCCACAAGGCAGTGCGTGGGGAGGGGCAGCCCAGCAGGGCAATGGCGGCGAGCGGGGCGCATGAAGGCCATGGAGAGGGTGGTGCTGGTGGGGAGGATGATGGGGGAGCAGGTGCTGTGGGTGGGCCAGGAGAGAAGGTCGGAGTGAAGGTGAAGTTAAAGCGTAGAGTGAAAGTGAAGCTTCCTGAAGGGAAGAAGGTAGTAGGTGTGAGTGAAGGTGGGCATGGCGAGAAGGGAATGGATGGTGAAGCTGCGATAAGACGGACGGGAGGGCAGGCAGGAGGGGAAGAGGATGGAGGGGAGCGGAAGGAGGGAGAAAAGAAAGAAAAGGAAGGGGATAGAAAGGAGGGAGGAAACAAAGAAACTAAAGCGGAAGGAGGCGAGAGTGGGAAGGGGGACAAGAGGAAAGAGAGAGGGGAGGGAGGGTTGGCAGGGGGTAAGGCGGAGGAAGCAAATAAACGGGAGAGGGAGGAGAAGGTGAAGGGTCCGAGGAGAGAGGAGGGGGAAGAGGAGGGGGGAGAGGGAGGGAGAGGAGGAAAGAGCGAGAAAAAGGGAGAGGATGAGAAGGGAAGCAGGCAGGCAGAGGGAGAAAGACGGGGGCTAGTGAAAGCTGTAGGTGCAAAGAGGGGGAGACCTGTTGGTGGGTCCAAGGCTGCTGCCGCTGCACTCGCCGCCGCCGCTGCTGCCGCTGCTGCTGTAGCAGCAGGGGCCGCCAGTAACACTGATGCTGCTGTAGCAGCAGGGGCCGCCAGTAACACTGATGCTGCTGTAGCAGCAGGGGCCGCCAGTAACACTGATGCTGCTGTAGCAGCAGGGGCCGCCAGTAACACTGATGCTGCTGTAGCAGCAGGGGCCGCCAGTAACACTGATGCTTCTGTAGCAGCAGGGGCCGCCAGTAACACTGATGCTGCTGTAGCAGCAGGGGCCGCCAGTAACACTGATGCTGCTGGTTGTGGTGCTGCTGTTGGTGGTGCTGAGGGTGTTGCTGTGCCTTCTGGAGGGGTTGATGCTGGGAAGGTTGCACCTGATGAGACGCTGACAGCAGCACGCAAGGACAAGGCGCGTCTGGCTGCTGGGGAGGGGCGAGAAACAGTTGGAAGGGGTGACAACGACGGAGAGAAGGGCAGAGGAAAGAATAGTGCAGAGAATGTTGGAGAAGTGAAGGATGGAGGAAAAGAGTCCGGGGAGGCAGAGGATGGGGAGACCGCTAAGGGGGGAGAGAGGCCAGGGGGAGATAGGGTGGGAGGAGGGGGAAGGGAGGATGGGGTTGGTGAGAGAGAGAGGGAACGTCATAAGGAGGGGAAAAGGAGGAAGAAACGTGAGCGGGAGAGAGGTGAGTTGGTGGGGAAGAGAGGGGAGAGAGTGAGAGCGGGAGAGGGGGAGCAGACGGATGGAAAGCATAGTGCTGTGGCAGAGAGGCATGTGGCAGAGAGGCATGTGGCTGAAGGCGACGAGGAGGGCGCGAGGGAAGAGGGGGCAGTGGGTGCAGTGGTGAGCGAGGGAGTAGATGCAGGAGGAGAGGGCTCTCAGGGGGAGACGGGTGAGATGGCGAGGGCGAGTAAGATGGAGGGGAGGCGACATGGGGGCAGGGAGAGGAAGAGGAGTGGTGAGGAGGTGGCGAGGAGGGAAAGGAGAGAGGGTGGGAGGGGTGACGATCTGGAAGTGCAGGTGACAGAAGAGAAGAGAGGGAGAGAGAAGCGACATGAGGAGAAGGGGAGAGAGAAGAGGGGAAGAGAAGATGGTGTTGTGAGGAGGGGAGAAAAGGATGAAAGAAAGAGGCGCGGGGATGATTGGGAGGAGGATGCAAGGGAGGAGGAGGGTAAGGAGGACGATGAGGAGCGCAGAAAAGGAGAGGGGGCAGAAAGGATGTCAGCCAGAGCGAGAGCAATGAGAGTGCAGGAGACGGCTGGAGAGGAGGGGATGAAGCGGGTGGGTGGTGATGAGACAGGCCGATATGAGCATGAGGAGGAGGGAGAGAGAGGGGACACGGGAAGGGGAGCAGGGATTTTAAGAGAGGACAAGGAGAGAGGGGAGAGAGGGAGAAGAGGGAGGAAGGGGAGGGAGGCGAGTGAGGGTGGGGAGGGGAGTGTGTGGTGCGGGCTGTGTGGGGGAGAGGAGGAGCAGGGCAGTGCAAAAGCTGCTCGCCTGGTGCCGTGCCCGCAGTGTGGTCGCAGCTTCCACCGCCACTGCCTGCTGGGGATGGCTGACAACAGAGGTATGTCTGTGTGCTCTGTGCCTGCTGTGTGCCTGCTGTGTGCCTGCTGTGTGCCTGCTGTGTGCCTGCTGTGTGCCTGCTGTGTGCCTGCTGTGTGCCTGTTGTGTGCCTGTTGTGTGCCTGTTGTGTGCCTGTTGTGTGCCTGCTGGGTACGGCTAGTGGTATGCAGTGCATGTGTGGCTCTCACGTCATGCCCTGTGCTGCTCGCCACTCGCTTGCTGTCGTGCTCCCAGTGCCGCCGCAGCTTTCGCTGCCACTGCCTCTTGGCCATGGTTCGCAACAGAGGTACTTCGTCTGTGTGCTGTGGGGTGGGTTTGGGTTTCGGGTGGGGCGGGGTGCGCGCGTCACTGTGCATGGTGTGTGCTGCTGATTTCCTTTCTTGCTCTTCTTCAATTCGCCTCCCTTGCCCCTTGTTCCACCCATTGACCCGCATCCCCCCTCCCGTTGCCCCACACCCTCCACCCCCCTCGGTTGCCCCACATGCCCTCCCATCCACTTCCGCCTGTGCCCCACATCCCCTCTTGCCCATACTCACCCATCAGGGCCCCCCTCACATCCTCCTCTCCCCCCCCCCCCTCCCAATGCCCTCTCCGCACTGCCTTGCTGTGCGTGCGCAGGCAAGCTGGACTGGCGGGACTGGGTGTGCCCGGGGTGCATTCGCTGTGAGGTGAGCCGCGGCATGGGGGATGGAGCATGGGGGTGGGTGGGTGGGGCATGGGGTGGGGGGGAGGTGGGGGGGTGCGATATGATGCCATCTGATGCCATGGGCTGTCATTTCACATGCCCCCAGGGCCCCAGCAGTCCCCTCCCCAGAGGCGCTCGTCTCTTGAGTCAACTCAAGCAAACCTTGGTCCTTTCTCTCGTGTGCCCTTGCTCATTTCTCTCGTGTGCCCTTGCTCCTTTCTCTCGTGTGCCCTTGCTCCTTTCTCTCGTGTGCCCTTGCTCTTTTCTCTCGTGTGCCCTTGCTCCTTTCTCTCGTGTGCCCTTGCTCCTTTCTCTCGTGTGCCCTTGCTCCTTTCTCTCGTGTGCCCTTGCTCCTTTCTCTCGTGTGCCCTTGCTCCTTTCTCTCGTGTGCCCTTGCTCCTTTCTCTCGTGTGCCCTTGCTCCTTTCTCTCGTGTGCCCTTCCTCCTTTCTCTCGTGTGCCCTTGCTCATTTCTCTCGTGTGCCCTTGCTCCTTTCTCTCGTGTGCCCTTGCTCCTTTCTCTCGTGTGCCCTTGCTCCTTTCTCTCGTGTGCCCTTGCTCCTTTCTCTCGTGTGCCCTTGCTCCTTTCTCTCGTGTGCCCTTGCTCATTTCTCTCGTGTGCCCTTGCTCCTTTCTCTCGTGTGCCCTTGCTCCTTTCTCTCGTGTGCCCTTGCTCCTTTCTCTCGTGTGCCCTTGCTCCTTTCTCTCGTGTGCCCTTGCTCATTTCTCTCGTGTGCCCTTGCTCCTTTCTCTCGGGTGCCCTTGCTCCTTTCTCTCGTGTGCCCTTGCTCCTTTCTCTCGTGTGCCCTTGCTCCTTTCTCTCGTGTGCCCTTGCTCCTTTCTCTCGTGTGCCCTTGCTCCTTTCTCCTTTCTCTTGTGTGCCCTTGCTCCTTTCTCTCGTGTGCCCTTGCTCCTTTCTCTCGTGTGCCCTTGCTCATTTCTCTCGTGTGCCCTTGCTCCTTTCTCTCGTGTGCCCTTGCTCCTTTCTCTCGTGTGCCCTTGCTCCTTTCTTTCGTGTGCCCTTGCTCCTTTCTCTCGTGTGCCCTTGCTCCTTTCTCTCGTGTGCCCTTGCTCCTTTCTCTCGTGTGCCCTTGCTCCTTTCTCTCGTGTGCCCTTGCTCCTTTCTCTCGTGCGCCCTTGCTCATTTCTCTCGTGTGCCCTTGCTCCTCCTCTCTCTCGTGTGCCCTTGCTCCTTTCTCTCGTGTGCCCTTGCTCCTTTCTCTCGTGTGCCCTTGCTCCTTTCTCTCGTGTGCCCTTGCTCCTTTCTCTCCTGTGCCCTTGCTCCTTTCTCTTGTGTGCCCTTGCTCCTTTCTCTCGTGTGCCCTTGCTCCTTTCTCTCGTGTGCCCTTGCTCCTTTCTCTCGTGTGCCCTTGCTCCTTTCTCCTTTCTCTTGTGTGCCCTTGCTCCTTTCTCTCGTGTGCCCTTGCTCCTTTCTCTCGTGTGCCCTTGCTCATTTCTCTCGTGTGCCCTTGCTCCTTTCTCTCGTGTGCCCTTGCTCCTTTCTCTCGTGTGCCCTTGCTCCTTTCTCTCGTGTGCCCTTGCTCCTTTCTCTCGTGTGCCCTTGCTCCTTTCTCTCGTGTGCCCTTGCTCCTTTCTCTCGTGTGCCCTTGCTCCTTTCTCTCGTGTGCCCTTGCTCCTTTCTCTCGTGCGCCCTTGCTCATTTCTCTCGTGTGCCCTTGCTCCTCCTCTCTCTCGTGTGCCCTTGCTCCTTTCTCTCGTGTGCCCTTGCTCCTTTCTCTCATGTGCCCTTGCTCCTTTCTCTCGTGTGCCCTTGCTCCTTTCTCTCGTGTGCCCTTGCTCCTTTCTCCTTTCTCTTGTGTGCCCTTGCTCCTTTCTCTCGTGTGCCCTTGCTCCTTTCTCTCGTGTGCCCTTGCTCCTTTCTCTCGTGTGCCCTTGCTCATTTCTCTCGTGTGCCCTTGCTCCTTTCTCTCGTGTGCCCTTGCTCCTTTCTCTCGTGTGCCCTTGCTCCTTTCTCTCGTGCGCCCTTGCTCATTTCTCTCGTGTGCCCTTGCTCCTCCTCTCTCTCGTGTGCCCTTGCTCCTTTCTCTCGTGTGCCCTTGCTCCTTTCTCTCGTGTGCCCTTGCTCCTTTCTCTCGTGTGCCCTTGCTCCTTTCTCTCCTGTGCCCTTGCTCCTTTCTCCTTTCTCTTGTGTGCCCTTGCTCCTTTCTCTCGTGTGCCCTTGCTCCTTTCTCTCGTGTGCCCTTGCTCCTTTCTCTCGTGTGCCCTTGCTCCTTTCTCTCGTGTGCCCTTGCTCCTTTCTCTCGTGTGCCCTTGCTCCTTTCTCTCGTGTGCCCTTGCTCCTTTCTCTCGTGTGCCCTTGCTCCTTTCTCTCGTGTGCCCTTGCTCCTTTCTCTCGTGTGCCCTTGCTCCTTTCTCTCGTGTGCCCTTGCTCCTTTCTCTCGTGTGCCCTTGCTCCTTTCTCTCGTGTGCCCTTGCTCCTTTCTCTCGTGTGCCCTTGCTCCTTTCTTTCGTGTGCCCTTGCTCCTTTCTCTCGTGTGCCCTTGCTCCTTTCTCTCGTGTGCCCTTGCTCCTTTCTCTCGTGTGCCCTTGCTCCTTTCTCTCGTGTGCCCTTGCTCCTTTCTCTCGTGTGCCCTTGCTCCTTTCTCTCGTGTGCCCTTGCTCATTTCTCTCGTGTGCCCTTGCTCCTTTCTCTCGTGTGCCCTTGCTCCTTTCTCTCGTGTGCCCTTGCTCCTTTCTCTCGTGTGCCCTTGCTCCTTTCTCTCGTGTGCCCTTGCTCCTTTCTCTCGTGTGCCCTTGCTCTTTTCTCTCGTGTGCCCTTGCTCCTTTCTCTCGTGTGCCCTTGCTCCTCCTCTCTCTCGTGTGCCCTTGCTCCTCCTCTCTCTCGTGTGCCCTTGCTCCTCCTCTCTCTGCTGGCTGGGAACCCTCATCCATCCTCTGCTACTATCATGTTTCACTCTGCTTTGCCTGCCCCTAAACCGTGAAACCTTGAACCCTAAACCGTGAAACCTTGAACCCTAAACCGTGATATTTTCTGTCAGGCCTGCCACCGCTACGGTCGTCCATCCCGTGCTGCTCTGAACCACCTCCCCACCAACTCACACCTCCACCAACTCACACCTCCCCACCAACTCACACCTCCCCACCAACTCACACCTCCCCACCAACTCACACCTCACCACCAACTCACACCTCACCACCAACTCACACCTCACCACCAACTCACACCTCACCACCAACTCACACCTCACCACCAACTCACACCTCCCCACCAACTCACACCTCCCCACCAACTCACACGTCCCTGCCTCCACACTTTGTGTTGCCTTGCCTGTCCCTAAACCCCGAGCAGGCCTGCCAGCGCTACGGGGAGCCGTCGTCCATCGTGTGCTGCTATCGCTGTGACAGGGGCTACCATGTGGCATGCACTCAGCTGCACACCAAGGTGAGCACATGTCCTGTGCTTGAATGAGTGCGAGTGCGTGAGTGAGTGAGCGAGCGAGGGTGTGAGTATGTGATTGAGGAAGTGCGTTGCTGTGTGTGATTGAGGAAGTGCGTTCCTGTGTGTGATTGAGGAAGTGCGTTGCTGTGTGCGATTGAGGAAGTGCGTTGCTGTGTGCGATTGAGGAAGTGTGTTGCTGTGTTCGGTGAGCTGCTGTGCTTCATGCAGCCCAAACACTATGCTGCTGTCCCTCACAATATTCTCTGCACCTCTCTGCACCCCTCTGCACCATCTACCCGCTTCTTCGTTCCTCTGCTCCCTTCTGCACCCCTCTACGTTCCTCTTCACTCACACATCTGCACCTCTCTCCATCCCTCTGCACTGCACCTTCTGCATCCCTCTGCACCCCACCAGTCGCCCTTCAAGGGTCCCTTCCTGTGTCCCAGCCACACGCAGTGCCACAGCTGCGGCTCCAAAGTGCCGGGCAGTGGCACGTCCTCGCGGTGAGACGAGGGAATAACCGGGAGTGGGGATAACAGGGAGTGGGGATAAAAAGGAGTGGGGATAACAGGGAGTGGGGATAACAGGGAGTGGGGATAACAGGGAGTGGGGATAACAGGGAGTGGGGATAACAGGGAGTGGGGATAACAGGGAGTTGGGATAACAGGGAGGGATAACAGGGAGTGGGGATAACAGGGAGTGGGGATAACAGGGAGTGGGGATAACAGGGAGTGGGGATAACAGGGAGTGGGGATAACAGGGAGTGGGGATAACAGGGAGTGGGGATAACAGGGAGTGGGGATAACAGGGAGTGGGGATAGCAGGGAGTGGGGATAACAGGGAGTGGGGAGAAGGCTGGAGGGAACAGGGGATGGGGATAACAGGGAGTGGTAAGATGTGTGGGGGGGTGGGAGTGTGAGAGAGAGACGGGAAAATACCTGGGTGCAGGGGAGGATGGTGGGAGGAAAAGATGTGCGATCGTCTGCCCTCTGTTCCCACGCCCTGTCGCCTTCTCTATCCCTCCCCCACTTCCCCTCCCTCTTCTCCCCTTTCCCTCCTTTCTCCCAGTCTCACCGCGCTCCCCCTCTGGTTTCTCCATCCCCTATCTCACCATCCATCCATCACATGCTTTGTGCTGCCTTTCAACCACATGCTTTGTGCTGCCTTTCAACCACATGCTTTGTGCTGCCTTTCAACCACATGCTTTGTGCTGCCTTTCAACCACATGCTTTGTGCTGCCTTTCAACCACATGCTTTGTGCTGCCTTTCAACCACATGCTTTGTGCTGCCTTTCAACCACATGCTTTGTGCTGCCTTTCAACCACATGCTTTGTGCTGCCTTTCAACCACATGCTTTGTGCTGCCTTTCAACCACATGCTTTGTGCTGCCTTTCAACCACATGCTTTGTGCTGCCTTTCAACCACATGCTTTGTGCTGCCTTTCCTCCCCCCTTCCTCCTCTCGCTCCCCTCCTCTTTCCCCCTTCGGCTTACCTCTCCCCCCCACCCCTCCAGCTGCTGCCTCAACTACATGTTCTGTCACACTTCTCACTCTCCCATCCTCCTCTCCCCTCCTCCTCCCCCCATTCTCCCACCCCCCTCCCCTTCCCCATCCCCCCAGGGGGTTTTTCGCTACATGCTCTTTGACACCTTGCCCTTTTCCCCTATCCCGTTTTGTTCCCTCCTGACCGCCTGTCCGCTCGTTCTTCCCACGGCCCGCAGGTGGTTCTTCAACTACATGCTGTGTGACGCCTGTGGCCGCCTCTTCGTCAAGAAGAAGCACTGCCCCGTCTGCCTCAGGGTAGGTGCCCCGTCTGCCTCAGGGTAGGTGCCCCGTCTGCCTCAGGGTAGGTGCCCCGTCTGCCTCAGGGTAGGTGCCCCGTCTGCCTCAGGGTAGGTGCCCCGTCTGCCTCAGGGTAGGTGCCCCGTCTGCCTCAGGGTAGGTGCCCCGTCTGCCTCAGGGTAGGTGCCCCGTCTGCCTCAGGGTAGGTGCCCCGTCTGCCTCAGGGTAGGTGCCCCGTCTGCCTCAGGGTAGGTGCCCCGTCTGCCTCAGGGTAGGTGCCCCGTCTGCCTCAGGGTAGGTGCCCCGTCTGCCTCAGGGTAGGTGCCCCCGTCTGCCTCAGGGTAGGTGCCCCGTCTGCCTCAGGGTAGGTGCCCCGTCTGCCTCAGGGTAGGTGCCCCGTCTGCCTCAGGGTAGGTGCCCCGTCTGCCTCAGGGTAGGTGCCCCGTCTGCCTCAGGGTAGGTGCCCCGTCTGCCTCAGGGTAGGTGCCCCGTCTGCCTCAGGGTAGGTGCCCCGTCTGCCTCAGGGTAGGTGCCCCGTCTGCCTCAGGGTAGGTGCCCCGTCTGCCTCAGGGTAGGTGCCCCGTCTGCCTCAGGGTAGGTGCCCCGTCTGCCTCAGGGTAGGTGCCCCGTCTGCCTCAGGGTAGGTGCCCCGTCTGCCTCAGGGTAGGTGCCCCGTCTGCCTCAGGGTAGGTGCCCCGTCTGCCTCAGGGTAGGTGCCCCGTCTGCCTCAGGGTAGGTCCACGTGGGGGAGGAAAGCACTGCTGGGGAGGGTGCAGCCCAGGTGGGGCAGCTGGGGTGGGGCAGCTGGGGTGGGGCAGCTGGGGTGGGGCAGCTGGGGGGTAGGTGCGGCAGGGGGAGATAAAGTGCAGGTGAGGTATGCTCTTGGTGGCGAATCATCATTGCCAAGTCCCGTGCTTCAGGGTAGGTGGAGTGGGGCAGCTGGGGTGGGTGCAGCTGGGGCGTGACTGACTGTGACTGACAGTGACTGGCTGAAACAAATGCCTCCGTTTGCATTTGATCATCATCAGGTGTTTCCAGGCTCTCATTCCTACTCTCGCTGACTGTCTGCATGTGTGTATGCATGTGTGTATGCATGTGTGTATGCATGTGTGCCTGTGCGTGTGTGTGCATGTGTGTATGCATGTGTGTATGCATGTGTGTATGCATGTGTCTCTGCATGTGTGTATGCATGTGTGTCTGCATGTGTGTCTGCATGTGAGTCTGCATGTGTGTATGCATGTGTGTATGCATGTGTGTATGCATGTGTGTATGCATGTGTGCCTGCATGTGTGTATGCATGTGTGTATGCATGTGAGTATGCATGTGTGTATGCATGTGTGTATGCATGTGTGTATGCATGTGTGTGTGCATGTGTGTATGCATGTGTGTATGCATGTGTGCCTGCATGTGTGTATGCATGTGTGTCTGCATGTGATTCTGCATGTGTGTATGCATGTGTGTATGCATGTGTGTATGCCTGTGTGTATGCATGTGTGTATGCATGTGTGTATGCATGTGTGTATGCATGTGTGTGTGCATGTGTCTCTGCATGTGTGTATGCATGTGTGTCTGCATGTGTGTCTGCATGTGATTCTGCATGTGATTCTGCATGTGTGTATGCATGTGTGTATGCATGTGTGTATGCATGTGTGTATGCATGTGTGTATGCATGTGTGTATGCATGTGTGTATGCATGTGTGTTTGCATGTGAGTCTGCATGTGAGTCTGCATGTGAGTCTAATGTGTTGACACTATACATGCATCCCCATCCCACCGCCCTCATCGCAGGTGTATCGGGACTCAGAGCCAACGCCAATGGTGTGTTGTGACAAATGCGAGCACTGGGTGCATTGCGCATGTGACAACATCAGGTGGGTAAGAGGTGCCGTTTCTGTACCTGGACACACTTTGTGCATGTGACAGTACTATATTGCAATCACACCTCCCTCCCTCTTCTACTTTCCAGCAACCCCCCTCTCTCTCCCTCCCTTTTCTTTCCTTCCCCCCTTCGCTGTCACAGACACTCTCTCTCACTCCTTGCACTTCTTGACCTTGACCAACCCAATCTATTCCTCACTGTTGACAATTGTTTCACTTCTCCGTGCTTGTTTCACTTCTCCGTGCTTGATTCACTTCTCCGTGCTTGATTCACTTCTCCGTGCTTGATTCACTTCTCCGTGCTTAATTTACTTCTCCGTGCTTGTTTCACTTCTCCGTGCTTGATTCACTTCTCCGTGCTTGATTCACTTCTCCGTGCTTGATTCACTTCTCCGTGCTTGATTCACTTCTCCGTGCTTGATTCACTTCTCCGTGCTTGTTTCACTTCTCCGTGCTTGTTTCACTTCTCCGTGCTTGATTCACTTCTCCGTGCTTGTTTCACTTCTCCGTGCTTGTTTCACTTCTCCGTGCTTGTTTCACTTCTCCGTGCTTGTTTCACTTCTCCGTGCTTGTTTCACTTCTCCGTGCTTGTTTCACTTCTCCGTGCTTGTTTCACTTCTCCGTGCTTGTTTCACTTCACCGTGCTTGTTTCACTTCTCCGTGCTTGTTTCACTTCTCCGTGCTTGTTTCACTTCTCCGTGCTTGTTTCACTTCTCCGTGCTTTATTCACTTCTCCGTGCTTGATTCACTTCTCCGTGCTTGTTTCACTTCTCCGTGCTTGTTTCACTTCTCCGTGCTTGATTCACTTCTCCGTGCTTGTTTCACTTCTCCGTGCTTTTTTCACTTCTCCGTGCTTGATTCACTTCTCCGTGCTTGATTCACTTCTCCGTGCTTGTTTCACTTCTCCGTGCTTGTTTCACTTCTCCGTGCTTGTTTCACTTCTCCGTGCTTGTTTCACTTCTCCGTGCTTGTTTCACTTCTCCGTGCTTGATTCACTTCTCCGTGCTTGTTTCACTTCTCCGTGCTTGTTTCACTTCTCCGTGCTTGTTTCACTTCTCCGTGCTTGATTCACTTCTCCGTGCTTGTTTCACTTCTCCGTGCTTGTTTCACTTCTCCGTGCTTGATTCACTTCTCCGTGCTTGATTCACTTCTCCGTGCTTGTTTCACTTCTCCGTGCTTGTTTCACTTCTCCGTGCTTGTTTCACTTCTCCGTGCTTGTTTCACTTCTCCGTGCTTGTTTCACTTCTCCGTGCTTGATTCACTTCTCCGTGCTTGTTTCACTTCTCCGTGCTTGTTTCACTTCTCCGTGCTTGATTCACTTCTCCGTGCTTGTTTCACTTCTCCGTGCTTGTTTCACTTCTCCGTGCTTGTTTCACTTCTCCGTGCTTGTTTCACTTCTCCGTGCTTGTTTCACTTCTCCGTGCTTGATTCACTTCTCCGTGCTTGATTCACTTCTCCGTGCTTTATTCACTTCTCCGTGCTTGTTTCACTTCTCCGTGCTTGTTTCACTTCTCCGTGCTTGTTTCACTTCTCCGTGCTTGTTTCACTTCTCCGTGCTTGTTTCACTTCTCCGTGCTTGTTTCACTTCTCCGTGCTTGTTTCACTTCTCCGTGCTTGTTTCACTTCTCCGTGCTTGTTTCACTTCACCGTGCTTGTTTCACTTATCCGTGCTTGTTTCACTTCTCCGTGCTTGTTTCACTTCTCCGTGCTTGTTTCACTTCTCCGTGCTTGTTTCACTTCTCCGTGCTTGTTTCACTTCTCCGTGCTTGTTTCACTTCTCCGTGCTTGTTTCACTTCTCCGTGCTTGTTTCACTTCTCCGTGCTTGTTTCACTTCTCCGTGCTTGATTCACTTCTCCGTGCTTGATTCACTTCTCCGTGCTTTATTCACTTCTCCGTGCTTGTTTCACTTCTCCGTGCTTGTTTCACTTCTCCGTGCTTGTTTCACTTCTCCGTGCTTGTTTCACTTCTCCGTGCTTGTTTCACTTCTCCGTCCTTGTTTCACTTCTCCGTGCTTGTTTCACTTCTCCGTGCTTGTTTCACTTCTCCGTGCTTGTTTCACTTCACCGTGCTTGTTTCACTTATCCGTGCTTGTTTCACTTCTCCGTGCTTGTTTCACTTCTCCGTGCTTGTTTCACTTCTCCGTGCTTGTTTCACTTCTCCGTGCTTGTTTCACTTCTCCGTGCTTGTTTCACTTCTCCGTGCTTGTTTCACTTCTCCGTGCTTGTTTCACTTCTCCGTGCTTGATTCACTTCTCCGTGCTTGATTCACTTCTCCGGGCTTGATTCACTTCTTCGTGCTTGATTCACTTCTCCGTGCTTGATTCACTTCTCCGTGCTTGTTTCACTTCTCCGTGCTTGTTTCACTTCTCCGTGCTTGTTTCACTTCTCCGTGCTTGTTTCACTTCTCCGTGCTTGATTCACTTCTCCGTGCTTGTTTCACTTCTCCGTGCTTGTTTCACTTCTCCGTGCTTGTTTCACTTCTCCGTGCTTGATTCACTTCTCCGTGCTTGTTTCACTTCTCCGTGCTTGTTTCACTTCTCCGTGCTAGTTTCACTTCTCCGTGCTTGATTCACTTCTCCGTGCTTGATTCACTTCTCCGTGCTTGTTTCACTTCTCCGTGCTTGTTTCACTTCTCCGTGCTTGTTTCACTTCTCCGTGCTTGTTTCACTTCTCCGTGCTTGTTTCACTTCTCCGTGCTTGTTTCACTTCTCCGTGCTTGTTTCACTTCTCCGTGCTTGATTCACTTCTCCGTGCTTGTTTCACTTCTCCGTGCTTGTTTCACTTCTCCGTGCTTGTTTCACTTCTCCGTGCTTGTTTCACTTCTCCGTGCTTGTTTCACTTCTCCGTGCTGGATTCACTTCTCCGTGCTTGATTCACTTCTCCGTGCTTTATTCACTTCTCCGTGCTTGTTTCACTTCTCCGTGCTTGTTTCACTTCTCCGTGCTTGTTTCACTTCTCCGTGCTTGTTTCACTTCTCCGTGCTTGTTTCACTTCTCCGTGCTTGTTTCACTTCTCCGTGCTTGTTTCACTTCTCCGTGCTTGTTTCACTTCTCCGTGCTTGTTTCACTTCACCGTGCTTGTTTCACTTATCCGTGCTTGTTTCACTTCTCCGTGCTTGTTTCACTTCTCCGTGCTTGTTTCACTTCTCCGTGCTTGTTTCACTTCTCCGTGCTTGTTTCACTTCTCCGTGCTTGTTTCACTTCTCCGTGCTTGTTTCACTTCTCCGTGCTTGTTTCACTTCTCCGTGCTTGATTCACTTCTCCGTGCTTGATTCACTTCTCCGTGCTTGATTCACTTCTTCGTGCTTGATTCACTTCTCCGTGCTTGATTCACTTCTCCGTGCTTGTTTCACTTCTCCGTGCTTGTTTCACTTCTCCGTGCTTGTTTCACTTCTCCGTGCTTGTTTCACTTCTCCGTGCTTGATTCACTTCTCCGTGCTTGATTCACTTCTCCGTGCTTGTTTCACTTCTCCGTGCTTGTTTCACTTCTCCGTGGTTGTTTCACTTCTCCGTGCTTGTTTCACTTCTCCGTGCTTGTATCACTTCACCGTGCTTGTTTCACTTCTCCGTGCTTGATTCACTTCTCCGTGCTTGTTTCACTTCTCCGTGCTTGTTTCACTTCTCCGTGCTTGTTTCACTTCTCCGTGCTTGTTTCACTTCTCCGTGCTTGTTTCACTTCTCCGTGCTTGTTTCACTTCTCCGTGCTTGTTTCACTTCTCCGTGCTTGTTTCACTTCACCGTGCTTGATTCACTTCTCCGTGCTTGTTTCACTTCTCCGTGCTTGTTTCACTTCTCCGTGCTTGATTCACTTCTCCGTGCTTGATTCACTTCTCCGTGCTTGTTTCACTTCTCCGTGCTTGTTTCACTTCTCCGTGCTTGTTTCACTTCTCCGTGCTTGTTTCACTTCTCCGTGCTTGTTTCACTTCTCCGTGCTTGTTTCACTTCTCCGTGCTTGATTCACTTCTCCGTGCTTGTTTCACTTCTCCGTGCTTGTTTCACTTCTCCGTGCTTGTTTCACTTCTCCGTGCTTGATTCACTTCTCCGTGCTTGTTTCACTTCTCCGTGCTAGTTTCACTTCTCCGTGCTTGATTCACTTCTCCGTGCTTGATTCACTTCTCCGTGCTTGTTTCACTTCTCCGTGCTTGTTTCACTTCTCCGTGCTTGTTTCACTTCTCCGTGCTTGTTTCACTTCTCCGTGCTTGTTTCACTTCTCCGTGCTTGTTTCACTTCTCCGTGCTTGTTTCACTTCACCGTGCTTGTTTCACTTCTCCGTGCTTGTTTCACTTCTCCGTGCTTGTTTCACTTCTCCGTGCTTGTTTCACTTCTCCGTGCTTGTTTCACTTCTCCGTGCTTGATTCACTTCTCCGTGCTTGATTCACTTCTCCGTGCTTTATTCACTTCTCCGTGCTTGTTTCACTTCTCCGTGCTTGTTTCACTTCTCCGTGCTTGTTTCACTTCTCCGTGCTTGTTTCACTTCTCCGTGCTTGTTTCACTTCTCCGTGCTTGTTTCACTTCTCCGTGCTTGTTTCACTTCACCGTGCTTGTTTCACTTCTCCGTGCTTGTTTCACTTCTCCGTGCTTGTTTCACTTCTCCGTGCTTGTTTCACTTCTCCGTGCTTGTTTCACTTCTCCGTGCTTGTTTCACTTCTCCGTGCTTCTTTCACTTCTCCGTGCTTGTTTCACTTCTCCGTGCTTGTTTCACTTCACCGTGCTTGTTTCACTTCTCCGTGCTTGTTTCACTTCTCCGTGCTTGTTTCACTTCTCCGTGCTTGTTTCACTTCTCCGTGCTTGATTCACTTCTCCGTGCTTTATTCACTTCTCCGTGCTTGTTTCACTTCTCCGTGCTTGTTTCACTTCTCCGTGCTTGTTTCACTTCTCCGTGCTTGTTTCACTTCTCCGTTCTTGTTTCACTTCTCCGTGCTTGATTCACTTCTCCGTGCTTGATTCACTTCTCCGTGCTTGTTTCACTTCTCCGTGCTTTTTTCACTTCTCCG